AAGGTCTGGTAAATGTATTTATTTACCTCTCTAGGAAGGTATATTGACGATTGACAAAATACAGAATATGTAGTTCACCATCCTTAGTGGTTGTTCCACTATATGCCTCTACAAGTAAAAACACTTGATTCCCAATTCTTACCAATAATATCTAGAACATAACACGATGGTTTATGAAATTAAAAAAATCTTCCTCAGGTGTGGCTCAATTGGTTGGAGCATTGTCCCATGCACTGGGAAGTCATGGGTCAGATTCCTGGTGAGGGCACATACCTAAGTTTCAGTTCGGTCCCGGTTGGGGTGCCAAAGGGAGGCAGCCAACCAATGTATTTTTCTCATATTGATGTTTCTCTTTCTCCTCCCAACCCCCGCCTTCCTCCTTCTCTAAAATCAATTTTTAAAAAATCTTTCTTGATCAAATAGGTTTAAAAATTAGTGTCTCAGTGTAGTTTTATTTTGTACTTCTCTTAACAGTGAAGTTGAATTTTTCCCCAGCTTGAGTCATTAGTATCCATTTCTGTAAAAACTCTCTAGTTTTGGATCTTTTTCCTTCTGTACTATTGAACTTTTTCTTATTGAATTATAGTTTTTTATATATTAAGCAAGCATAATATAATTTGCAAATTATTTTTTTTCAAATTTGTCATTTTTCTTTGTTTATGGTGTTTTTTTGCCATGAAGAACTTATTTAACACAGTGATATAATTTATCATTATAATTTTATAGTGAAAATCTTTGTTTCTGGATTTTATATTGAATTTAGAAAAGCCTTCACACCACACTAAAATCTTTTACGATTCTCCCATGATTTCTTCAAGTACTTTAAACATTTCAGTTTTCACACTTAAAACTGGATTTTATTTTGGTATAAGATATGTATCCAACTTTATTTTTTTCCTGGAAAAAGCTACCTAGGTATCCTAACACCTTTCAATGAGTAAGCCATATTTCCCCCCACTGTACTGAAATGTCATCTTTATCTTGTACTAAATTCCCATATCTGGGTCTATTTTTGACCTTTCAATTTAGTTATAATGATCTGTTTAGCCATATGCTAGGACAAAACTGTTTTAATTACTATTTAAATATTTTTTAAGACTAGTCTACCCTCTATTTTAATATTTTTTAAGACTAGTCTACCCTCATTGCTTTTTCAGAACTTTCCTGGTCAGTCTTGCTTCTCAAGGAACTTTGGAATCAGCTTTCTAGTTTTAAAAAAGCCTGATATTTTTATTGGGGTCACATTACATTTATAGATTATTTTACATTAATCTCCTCCATTTCTAATGTCTCTAAATACTCTAATTCTCCCCCTTGGTTGTAAAGGTCCTTGAGGACATGAATTTATACTCGTATATTTTGTGTACCTTTTAGAGCACCAGTAAAATGCTCTGCATTGAATGGCTCATCATTAACCCCTACCATGAAAATAGAAACGCGAAGTGCCTGCTAAGTTCTGAATCTGCCCAGTTCATTTATTCACCACTTTGTCAGGTCCCACTAATCTTCTTCTAGAGAGATTAATCAATTCTGCCCATTCACAGCATCTAATTCTTTTCTCCTCTCACAGTGAAATCTTTTAAAGTGTCACTCATAAATTTTACAACAAAGTAGGCATTTTAGTTTATAAGTTTTTTTGTTAGTTTTACATATGAGATTGCAGGGAAAATTAAAATGTTTTAGTCTCAGGTTTGCATAAAGATTCTTGGTGATACTCATACATTGTTCACAGCAGTTTTCCTAAATCTATGTATGATTTTATTTTAAAAATACACACATTAAGTATAATGTGAGGAGAAATCCAAACTAAACATGTTTACATGTATGAAACATTACATTCTATAAACTATATAAGAAAATTACAGTGGGGCCTTGACTTACGAGTGTCCCGACCAAAGAGTTTTTTGAGATACCAGCTGTCTCTCCACCGATTTTTTGCATTGAGTTGACAGAGTAATTTGAGTTAATGAGCTCCTTAACAAGCTCGGTCTCGGAATGAATTAAACTCGTAAGTCAAGGCCCCACTGTAGTCTTCTTACATTAGGATATTATGTTAAAATATTTCCCAACCACACCAGTTAAATCAGAAGTTTCATGTGATAAAACATGTTTCTTCCCCAGGCCTTTTACAAGCATGGTAAAAATTCTAACTTCTAAATTAAACTTTCTAAAGTGAAGTTAAGTTAGTAATAATTGTGTGCTAGAAGTGAAATAAGATTAAGAGTCAGGAAAATACAAACAAAAAGCAGCTCTTCAACCTGCCCAGCAAAATGGTCAAATATTTATAGAGTTTCCTCACAGGACCAGGAGACACTATCCCCCAGCCTAACTCCAGCACTAGTCTCAAATCTCATGATAAGGCTCTTTCATTGCTTTAGTAACTAATTCTTCCTTGTGCCTTATAATATTGCACCTTATACCCCCTGGATCTTACATTGACTGTGTACATACCACACTCCCAACTCTCAAAAAATGAGGCATGAACTTTCAAATGTGCTAATATTTTAAAATTAGTATCAAAGACCAACAAAGAGAGATAACTGAGATTTAAAGGTCTAACCAATGAGTTCATAACAATAGGATGTGAATCCTGACCACAATACTCAAATTAAAAGTGCAATTACTTTTTATTATTAATTTGGATTAACAGATTCGTCAGTGTTAAGTGACAACTGGAGATTATGAGTTAAGATTATGTTTTGCCTCTTTTCCTGTCCATTTGCTGTTTCCCATTTGAGGTGCCCCATCAGGCACCTGCAGAAGTTCCTTTTAGCATTTCTTGGTATATATGTTAAAATGGCATAACAATTCATTTGAGTTAATCTAAATGTAATGATTTGTTTTTAATATCCCATTAAGTATATTGCAAAGCAACCAAAAAGCAAAAACAAAATAGAAAAATTATCTTGAAAAACTGAAGGAACTAAAAACATATACATTCTTCTAAAAATTTTTGTCCAAGATTAAGAATTTTAAGACACTAACTTCTACCCAGTTTTCAATACTAGGACAAAAATGGCGAACTTTCAGCTCAGGTTTTCTACCTCAAGTGTTTCCAAAAGATAACAGGCAGTGCTTAATCATCTTAAAAAAACAACCCCCCCCCAAAAGAGAGAGAGAGAGAGAGAGAGAGAGAGAGAGAGAGAGAGCAAAGATGGTAAGGGAATTCAGGACAGCATTAGCAAAAATTGTACATATGGAAAATTTGGAATTTATTATACAAATGCCAGGTAGCTGGAAGCATCTGCATAATTTTTTTAAAAATATATTTTATTGATTGTTTACAGAGAGGAAGGAAAAGAGATAGAGAGTTGGAAACATCGATCAGCTGCCTCCTGCACATCTCCTACTGGGGATGTGCCCGCAACCCAGGTACATGCCCTTGACCGGAATCGAACCTGGAACCTCCCAGTCCGCAGGCCGACGCTCTATCCACTGAGCCAAACCGGTTTCGGCTGCATAATTTATTGATGAAAGAAAAAGGCAAATGAAGGAGAGGGGAGGGCTGACTCTGAAAAAGATATTAGTTACCCTTGGTAAGTAAAGGTCATAGAACCTATCTCAACCTTCCCTAATGATGTTAAAACTGACTTTAAAATAATGTCAACATAAGACATTATTAGGCGAAGGATATCCCCAAACTTCCTTATTATTAAATATAAGCTTTTTTTAAAAAGCAGTGCTTGGCTTAGAGCTGTGTTTTGTTTTGTTTTTTTTCATTTAGTACCACTACAAATACTATGATCCTTTGACATATTTTTTAATGGCTATTTCTGGATTCTTGGCTTTTAATATTCTGAATCACAAATCAATTTTTCTTTAACTTTACCCACCCATATTCACAGGGTTCACTATCAATAAAAAAGGACAAATAGAAGTCACTTATCAGTTGAACAAAACTCTCCCACACCATACCCTTAAGCTTTAACTCTTAGTTCTGCATTTAAGGACCACCCTCCCAGTTTTATGAATCCTATCCCTGGCAAACAGTCCACAGATTGTTTGCTTTTATGAGAATTGTTCTTATGGCACACAGTGATAACTTTACAAATAATTATTCATGTAACTCTTTAAATTTTTTTTATCAGAAGAGGCAGCAGCACTCCTACTATAGTCTGGCAAAGCAGTGAACCAAATGCCAAGAAATCAGGACTATCAAATGTCAACCTCAAGGCAACATATCAAATAGAAGTACTCAGTAAATTAAATGCCATATCTGACCATCTTCAAGTTCAACCAAAATTATGTCCGTCATAAGTGATTTTCTTGTGCCACTACTGTTGGCCATTTTAAAAATCTTTGAAGGGAGGAACTACTGATGCCAGCCACTGCTTCAGTTAAAGAACATTTTCAGGTTTAAAAACATCAATACAGGATTCATGGGGCAGGGGAGCTTATATTGCATATAGCTTTGGTACAAAGGTAATAATTCTGTCACTCTGGAGACAACCAAAAATTTTCGAAGTGTCTTGCTTTTGATGTTTAGTATTTCCCTTACAGGCTTTTACCTTTTGAAGAACTGTCACTAGATCATTGAAATTATTCACCTTTGCCCTAACCGGTTTGGCTTAGTGGATAGAGCGTCAGCCTGTGGACTCAAGGGTCCCAGGTTCGATTCCGGTCAAGGGCATGTACCTTGGTTGCGGTCACATCCCCAGTGGGGAGTGTGCAGGAGGCAGCTGATCAATGTTTCTCTCTCATCGATGTTTCTAACTCTCTATCCCTCTCCCTTCCTCTCTGTAAAACATCAATAAAATGTACAGTGGGGCCTTGACTTACGAGTGTCCCGACTAACGAGTTTCTTGAGATACCAGCTGTCTCTCAGCCGATATTTTTGCATTGAGTTGACAGAGTAATTTAACAAGCTCGGTCTGGGAATGAATTAAACTCATAAGTCAAGGCCCCATTGTATTTTAAAAAAGAAATTATTCACCTTTTATGAATTCGTGATGAATTAATTCAGATAAATAGAAGTTATTTCTTGATAACTGGCTCATGGAATCATTTTTAAAAACTGATGATGTCATTCATTTTCTCCCCAAAATGGTCAAGAAGGGATCTGGATGTTACCTTTGATAATATACTGTAATTAAAAATATATTCTTAAAACTTATTGGTTAGCAGAAAATTCAGGTAATCATTAAGCTATCTTTCTGGCCTATCTTCAATATCAGGTAGGAAAAAGAGGACCCATACTCCCAATTTGGAAAGTGTATTTAGAAATTCACAAATTACACTGGGTTACACTCTCCAAACAGGCCTACTTGTTTCCTAGGTTACTGTTTGGTGACAAGGCAAAGAAAATATCTGTCAAAGGCAACAATAAAAAATTGCTTTTTAAAATGCATTTTTTCTAGGTTGAAAAAAAAGCAACTGTCTAAATAAGCACAAGGCATCTGTTTCTGCACTGTTATCACAAAATTTGTAAAAGCAATTTGGGCTTGAGGATCATTTACTAGTAATTGCTCCCTTGAAGCTAAAAAACAAGTTATTCTATTTTAATCTGGCTTTAAAATTATTTGCAAGATTCAAAATCATTCTGTTCAGCTTTACCTCAACGTTCACTATCAGCTTCAACTACTGTCATTCTAATTACCTCTGAAGTGTCACTGGTACATATCTGATCAAATACAGAATGTGAACGTGCCTGATTTGTTGACCTCATATCCACAGATAAAGTACTTACATGCTGGAGTATGGGCAATGGCTCCCTAATTTTAAGCTCTAACTATAAAGAACACTGGGCACACAGCAGACACTCAATAAGTGAAATTGACAGAAGTCATGATAAGCAGAATGTGTTTTACATTTTTTAAATGACCACCAGAAATTTAACAAAATCATGGAAAGTTGTGCTTCAATTGCTCTGAGTTGTTTTTATTAAAAATCAAATAAGAATAAATTTGAATAATTGTTCTGGGGCACACACACTTAATTTTATATCATGACACTAATGTGCTAAACTATTGCTTTAACAACTATTGCAGAGAAGTATCTGAAGTAATTGTTGGGGACATTGCAATACTCCCCAAGTAGGAAAGTATGCCAAGAGAATGAATGAGCCCAACCCAAAATTACCTGGGTATTAAGGAGCTTGGACTTCCACACTCCTCCTTCTCAGCCATATTTACACAGGGAATAGAAACCAATAATCAACTTGACTCTCCCAGAGTGCTATGGTTACTCTTTAAGCTTAATATAAAACAACTTAAGAGTCAGTTAATTTCTAGTTTAAGAACTGTTAACAGTGATTTAACTTTTGTTAAGGTGGGATTCTCTGGATTGTTCTTGATAAATTGGTCAGTTGATTGAGGATGGAATCTGACATAGGGTAAAAGTTGCTTTCAGGGAACTGAAACATATAAAGGTCAAATATAATAAAAACATTTATATATAATAGGGATACAAACACACCCCAAGTTGTTAACAATGGGTACATCTAAAGAATTATGTAGATGGTGGGGAAAGGGAGATCTGAAAAGGAACTTAAATTTTTTTTACTCTAAAGGCACAGAACAAATGAAAGTTTAAATTTTTGGTAGCATTGTCTTATGTGACATAATTACTAGGAGTTGTATGAAGACTTTAGTTTATCCTGTACTTTTACCTAACAATTATACTTCCCTCTTTTTCCTCTTCCCTCAAATAAAAACCTAAAGAACCTGCTGAAGTTAACTCCTGAATTTTTTATTTTAATCAGTCAACAGTCCAAAAATAATGTACTTCAAATTAATTGTAAGCAGATGCCGTTCTAATTTCCTGATTTACACATTTAAGGGAGACTGATTCTAAGTAAGCACTGGTTTGCATTAAAATTTTATGATTCTAATGAAGTCCACCAAATTAACCAGGTATCTTTTTGGAGGTAATTCAAAAAGGCAAAATATGCCCAAAGACATATGGGAGAAAATAAAATGAACATCTGTTATACTGACACTCGAGGCCTGGTGCACGACATTCATGCACTTGGGGGTGGGGATCACCTCAGCCCGGCCTGCGCACTTTAGCAGTCTGGTAGCGCTCAGGGGATGTCTGAGGGGGAGTGGGCTTAAGCCACAGCCGGACATCCATAGCGCTGCCACAGAGGCAGGAGGCTCCCACTGCCACCGCCACTGTACTCACCAGCCTGACTTGTGGCTTCATGGCGCTCCGGTGGGAGCACACTGACCACCAGGGGGCAGTTCCTGCATCGGTGCACGTTACAGCGACCAGTCGTTCTGGCATTCTGTCGATTTGCATACTAGCGTTTTATTATATAGGGTAAGAGCTCCTAGGCATGTTGGTAAGAAAAAAAGCAAGTTGCAAAACATATGCATAGTAAGAACAATTCATGTAAAAATTGTAAGCCCAACTAAACTATGTATGGCAAAAAGGTAATTGAATAGTATATATTAGAGAGCAAGGGTGACCATTTGGGAAGCAAGTTCCTAAGGGGCACTTTCACAGTATCTATGTTTTTATTCTTTTTTTCTAGAATATATTTAGATAATTAAATACAAAATGAAGAACTTCACATTTCTAGGAAGTACTACACATAATGGCTTCCTTAAAATAGCTTGCTACCAAATACCACTGTTGTCTATTTTTCAACATTATTATACTTTATCCCTATCCCTCATTTCTCTCATTGCTCTAGACAAGTTCAAATGTAAGAAAATCATATTAGCTTTTTCTTGAGCATCTAATAATGAAGAGATGATACAGCTGCCAGGAAATATCAAAATCAAGGTAAGAACTGATACAGTGGGAATAAAGTTTATTTAAGTAGGTAAGCCCATCTTCTGGTTTTAATGTGATGCATTTGGAAATATGTGCAGGCTTCTGAAGAGGACAAGATGCTTTCTTGCTAGGTGTACCATGTAATATTAACTTGCAATGCTCATTTGTTTACTGCAGAGAAAATGTTGCAGTAGAAAAGTTAATACTCAAAAGTACACTCAGCTTCTCAGAAAGAGATAATATAGGGTGTCCTCCAAAATGTATACACACTTTAACAGCTGATAACTCACTTAATTTTCACTCCTTTTCAGGTTTAACTGATTTGAAATAATGGGTGAAGGCAGACTAAGCTTTGAAGAAAATGTATCCTAATGTGCCACTATACTTTTTTTTAATGGGGATACATAAAAGAAAGTTTACGGTACAAAACTGACAACTGTTGACGAATTGAGGGCACACAAGTACCAAACAAAATAATTCTTAATATTTGCAATTCCATTGCTTTGCATTAGCAGCAATGAACAGTCATCAGTTTGAAAACATGCATTGACAAAAAAATTTATTCATTTCTGTAGATCCTTTTAAATTCTGAAAATGAACTGTATGTTAAACACTGACTTCAAAATCATTCAACGTATGTATACATATTTGAAGAACCCTGTATACATACCCCAGATAGTACAAGTAGTGCTAAAGTAGTATTTATTTAGAAGTGAAGCATTTTTGCTTGATATTGGAAACTCAAGAGTATTTATAATTTTTTCATGACATATAAGACTATATTTAGGAAAATTTGCTCTGGTTGTGATTAATCTGTTTTTCTTGAAAAGAGAAAACCCAATGAAATAAGATAGATATAGCATGAATTTTGGCCCACAACACCAAATACATTACTGTGTTAGTTGGTTAAGAATTACAGAACATACTAGAATCAATGCCTATTATAAAATCAAGTAAATGTATATGGTTCAATGAATCTCAGCTTTTAATTACTAAAATCTAGGTAATGCATTTTGTTTAGAAAAGAATACTTAAGAATCTATTGAAAGAATAACCAATGGACAGACACGCATGCATGCATATAAGCATAACCAATGGACACAAGACACTGGGGTAGGGGAGGCCAGGGGAAGGTCAATGGAGGGAAAAAAAGAAGACATATATACTATTTGTAATAAACAATAAAAAAATACCAAAGAAAATAAAGCAAATCAATGTGAAAATGTTGATGAAATATAAGGGTGGGGGGGAGAGTCTATTCAGTCTCTTTTATCTTTAGACATTATTGTTAGACTACTGCTGGTCACTACTATCTACACTCTTGTAGAAGATCCCAACATCTTACAGCTTCCAATTAAGTATTCCCTCTTTGTCACACTGTCTATAAAGAACCTATGAAAATTATAATGGCAAACAGAAGTTAAATTTGAAAAGTAAAAGGCACAGATCAAACCACTTCTAGAGATAACTGGTAATTACAAGGGGAAATTATGTTATCTGGAGATAATGATCTGGATTCTTGGTAGCATTTATAATACAGAAAATTGCAAATTGTGTATTAAAAGAAGCATCACAATTCCTTTTTTTAATGTTCTAAATATTTGGCACAATGCACAGCTTGCCTTATTTACAAACTATGTGATAAAAGTAACATATTTTTCAAAATACTTTTAAAAATTGTCAGGTTACAGAGTTTCACGTTTACGCCTCACTACCCCTTTCTCTAGTTGCCAAATTTTCTATTTTCTTATTGAAAATCTAAAAGTGATTATCATTCCTTTCTTATCTGAAGGCCAAATTAAAAGTAATCACTAATAATATATGGCTAATATATAAAAAAGATCTTAATTTAGCTGTAACAGCCATAGATTTAGGGTATTTTCAGGAAACATCCCTAGAACAAAACAAATTCACTCATATTTATCCAATAATATGATGCTTTTTTCTTTTCAAATTACTATTTACCTCCAGATTATTGCAACCTACTTTTTTTTTTTTTTACATATTTTTATTGATTTCAGAGAGGAAGGGAGAGGGAGAGATAGAAACATCAATGATGAAAGAGAATCACTGATCGGCTGTGTTCTGCATGCCCCACACTGGGGATCGAGCCCACAACCCAGGCATGTGCCTTTACCAGAATTGAACCTGGGACCCTTCATTTATTATCGTATACTTTTAACATAACATTAGGTATTTTTAATGACAATACTAAACCAATTTTTAATTATATATACTAAATGTATACACTTACTATTTGAAAAATATATTGATTCTACCTATTTTTACTACACATGGTAACTTGTGTCTTCTTCCTAATAGCACAATTACAACAATAGGCATACAACATATATATTAAATGTGAAGAAAGATTGGAAAAACTTACTCAGCCTTGGTCTATTATCTCTTTACCTTTCCTTTGTATACTCTTTACAACTGATTGGTCTTCTTCATTTCCCTTTCACGCTATTCCTATCTAAAGACCTTTGGGGCTTCTGAGCAAGGACAGGAATACTATACTGTTCTATTGGATTAACTTAAATTACAGGTTTAAAAAAGAATAAAATGCTTGATGTTAAGAAAGCTACACACAGAAGCCAAGGGAGAATAGAGGAGGAGGGGAGGAAACAAAACAAAACAGGGAGAGCGGTTGTGGCCCACCAATAATTATCTGGCAACTCCAGAGCACAGGTTCCTATCTAGACTTTAAAAGGTCAAAATTGAGAGCACAGTTCTCCAGTTATCAGGTTTCATAACATTATTTTTTTTGGAATAATGCTCAATTTCATCTCTACTTTAAAAAACCTTTTTCACTCCAATGGAAAAGAGCTTGCTTCCCATCTGCAACAGTAGAAATGGCAAGGCTTTCTTTATTACTTCTGAAAGAGTCAAAACAATTTTCCTCTGTTATACTCATGATTCCCCCAACCTTCCCCAATTCCCTGCATAAACATCAAACTCCCAGGAAACCGAGAAACTACACAGAGTACAGCCACCGAAGACAATTTTAACTTATCTCCCTGACTTTTTTCCACCCCACCCCTCCAAACTCACACAACAGAGGTCAATGTGTTTGTTGAGTTTGGCAAGGACAATCATTCAAAAAGGTAAAGTGCAATAGGGTGGTGAAGGAGGCAGGAGGTGGGGGCGGGCTAGAAGAAGTCAATGCCGGGGAAGGAGGATAAGTAATATTTTCAACAATAAAGATTTAAAAAGAAAAAAATTGGTAAAGCAAAGGCTCACAGAATCCTTAATACTAAGTAAAAATTGTAACATCATAAAATCTATTCATTCAACTTTTAACCCATTTGGGAAAGTTTAAGCTTTTAACTTAAAAATATGGTAGTACTTCTTTATATCCTCTTAATTGCACATGCTAACAACTTTATTGGATACTGCTGCTTCTTATTAGAAGTAAATCCAGGGACCATTCCATTTTATCTTAGACATAACATTTACTAGTTTTCCAAGCATGACAGAAATGGAAAAATATATATATTAGAGCAAAAACAATTTATGTTAATGTCTACCATTTGTGTTCCTTCTGTGAGCAGTGCCTGATTATATTAAAATTAACAAATTTAAGTTCAGTCCTATGCTTAATAAAAAAAAAAAATCTAATGAGAGACTAATTTACAAAGTATACAAGAATATAATTTTATAATAAATCTTTCCAGTGTTCTCTGTAACTGCATTTCATGAAATGTTTCCCTTCACAGAAACTCAAAACAGCTCTTATAAAATTAAACAAAATTTTCTGTGTTCATCTCTGGCAAGCACTAAGCAAATACAACTTGCTCACAAAAGATCTAAAAGTGCTGTCTCAGGAGCATAAACTACCACTAACATGCTGCATGAATTAGTCTTGGTGAGTGGCTACTGTCTGGGACCCCTTTTTCTCTTCTTACATCAATTAACCCTTCTCATATGAAGCTTAAGAGAAAACCAAAGCCGTTGAAAAAGTGAAACTCAGCATGCTCCACTCAAATATTTCTAATATAACCATTCTAAAGCAAAATTGGCAGAAGTCATCTCTTTTATAAAAACAAACAAACAAATAAAACCCAAACCAAAAGGCAAATGCCGCTGCTCGATCATCGGTTGAACTTACAGAGGCCAAAACATGTGACAACAGCAATAATTCAAGTAAAGTATTTGTGAAAATTTAAACACGCCACTTTCAAGTTAAGACAAAAGTGAAGGGAGCTATGATCTTTATATATCAGAGTCAGAAAGCTTAGGCATTATCATCAAATGTTAATCACTTTACAGTCATCAATGAGACTACTGTATATACTTTTGCACCTTGCGCTTGTAAAAGCAGATAAAATATTTAATATGTAATTTACAATGTATTTTACCAGCTCAGCATACAGGATGTATATAGATTATATCAAAGTAGTAGACAGTTATAGGGGCCTGTGCAAACCCTGCAAAAATAGTACTTCGGGTATTTGCTAATTAAAAAACAAAAACAAAAACAGTTTACTGTTTGGAAGTGATACAGTTCAAACTACCACAAAATACAAAGGGCTGCAAAATGTATACCATTCCAACAACATATATAAGTTATTAAATAAAGATTTGATTTAAAAGAATATAAATGAAGCCTTTAAGTAGGTCTTTTCTACATGCATATTATTCCTTATTAAAGAAAAAAATATGTAAAAAGGCCATTGGTAATTGCTTTGTTAACATTTGTAGAAAATGCCAATTCTCTGGTCACAAACTCCACTAAGTTTAGCACTTAAGGTCTCTGCAGTGTTATAAACGTAATTTAAAATACTGTTAATTCTATAATTCCATTGGTAAAATAATGTGACTTGGAATATGGCAGTCTTCATGTTGAGGGCAATGATCCACAGTTTGTTTTAATTTCTGAGGTGTGAACAGTTATCCAGAAGAACAGCACCCTCCACCACCGCTCTGGACTTGAGGTTCATCATCAATAATCTGTACACCTCGCCGAGCAGCTCCTGGTTGACTGGAGCCATTGCCTTTTGCCCTCTCATCCACTTGTGCTGTTTCTATCATCCCTAAGAGAGGAAGAAAGAGATTATTTAAGACTACAATCTTAGAATTTTCTCTTTTTATAATTTCGTATACCAGCATGATAGCCATTTCTGACTTTAAACCAAAAAAGGAACTAAATATAATAAACATTCTGTCAGCTCACTATGCAGCTTTTCCTGCAAGTTTAAAAATTAATAGCAAGTTTATTTGTCTACATATATAATGGCCACAATGACAGAGAAAACAAATTTTTTGGCTTGAACAAATGAACCAAAGGGTAAGTATAATCCTTAAGATTTTTCAAATGTACTTAGAAATATGTCAAAGACATCCAAATTGTTCCAAGAACAAGTGGTATTTAGGATGCAAGAGTTATTCTTCAACTAGTAATGCATGTTTGAAATAATAAAAGAGTTTAACATGAAGAACAACAAATCTGGAGAACTCACACTATCTAACTTAAAGATACAATAGAAAGCTATTCTTATGAAGACAGATATTGATGAAAGGAGAAATACAGAGATCAGTGGAACAGAGTCCAGATACAGAGCCATGGTCACTTGATTTTTGACATATGTGCCAAGATTATTCAATGAAGGATAATCTTTCCAAGAAAACAGTACTGGAACTGGACAGTTATATGTAAAAAATAAACCTCAACTTATACCCCTCACCATATGCTAAATTAACAAAAAACATTATTACATTTTTCATTAATAAAAAATGTTTTACATTCATATACTAAATCTAAATGTAAAACATAAAACAAAGTTTCTAGAAAAAACATAGGAGGAAATCTCTATAGGAGAAAATCTTGTGACTTTGAGTTTGGCAAAGATTTCTCATATAAGACACAAAAACCAGAAATCATAGGAGTAACTAATGAATCAGACCTCATTAAAATTTAGAACTTCTGCTCTTTAAGAGACACAGTTAAGAACAATGAAAATACAAGACATAGATAGGAGTAAATAACTGCAAAATATATCCGAAAAGATAAGGAAAGAACAGATGGAATCCTTCATAGAACTGAAATTTACTCCAAAGTTTGTGTACATATACATTTTTCTACAGAGAAAAACCAGTTTCATCAAATTCTCAAAAGAGTCTGATGTCCTTAAGTTCAAGGAATATAAATTAACAAAATCATTTCAATCCATTATTCCATAGACTTGAGTTTTCCAAAATATGTATTTTTTTAGTGATATGAGAAATGACTTTCAGGGTATATATAAATAAACATTTTCCTTTCTCTCTTTAAGCAACTTTTTAATAACAGAAAATTTCAAATGTATACATAAAATTGGAAAGAACAGTATAATGAAAATCCGTATGTCCATCACACAATTTCATCCATACCTGGAAAGCATGATTACCATTATTTTGAATCAAATACCACATACGTAATTTTAAAATATATTTTATTGACTTTTTATAGAGAGGAAGGGAGAAGGAAAGAGAGTTAGAAACATCAATGAGAGAGAAACATCAATCAGCTGCCTCTTGCACACCCCCTACTGGAGATGTGCCCGCAACCAAGGTACATGCCCTTGACTGGAATCGAACCTGGGACCCTTCAGTCTGCAGGCTGATGCTCTATCCACTGAGCCAAACCAGTCAGGGCCCATATACATAATTTTATACATAAATGAATCTAATAATATAATCATCTATAAAAGATAAGAACTCTTGTTAAAAAAAATAACTCTTGCCCTAGCTGGTTTAGCTCAGTGGATAGAGTGTTGGCTTGCAGACTGAAGGTTCCTGGGTTCGATTCCCATCAAAGGCAAATGCCCGGATTGCAGGCTCGTTGCCCAGTAGGTGGTGTGTAGGAGGCAGCATAGATCAATGATTCTCTCTCATCATTGATGTTTCCATCTCTTCCTTCCCCTTCCTCTCTGAAAAAAGAAAAAAAAAATTAAACAAATAAAATCTCTTGCCCAACTGGTGTGGCTCAGTGGTTGAGCATCGACCTATGAACAAGGAGGTCAGGGCTCAATTCTTGGTCAGGGCATGTGCCCAGGTTGTGGGCTAGATCCCTAGTAGGAGGCAGCTGATCAGTGATTCTCTCTCATTACTGATGTTTCTCTCTCTCTCTCTCTCTCTCTCTCTCTCTCTCTCCCCCCCTTTCTGAAATTAAAAAGAATATATATAAAAAAGAAAGGAGTTAAAGAAAAATATTGAGTAAACAGTAGTAATGGTAGATGTGACAAATCATCAATGTGGTCATTAATGGAGATTGTAAAACATCACTTTAGAAATCTTATGAATATTTTAAAAAGACATTTCTAAATATACTAAATCTAAATATACCTACTTTTACAGAGGTCAAGAAAGAGTTCCTCAATTCCTTTGTTCTGTTTGGCTGATGTATGATAATGTTTTGCTCCCACAGATTCTGCATACCTTAAAAAAAATAATATCAATGACCAATGTAAAAAATATTTCTCATATTTTTGTCATGACGGCTATGTGAATTTTTTCATAGTACCAAGTTTAGTGACCTTTAATTAGCCCAGATTTAACAAAATTAAGACTATAGCCCTGGCCGGTGTGGCTCAGTTGGTTGGGCAGTTGGCCCATGTACTAAGAGGTTGCCAGTTCAATTCTAGTCAGGGCACACGGCTGGGTTTGGGGCACGATCTCCCATGGGGGGCATGCAGGAAGCAACCCAGGCAGCCGACTGATGTTCCACTCTCACATCTATGTTTCTCTTTCTCTCTCCCTCTCCCTCTCCCTTTCTTTCTCTCTAAAGATCAACTAAAATATATTTTAAAAATAATAAAACATTATATATAGCTGTTTCACATCTCTGTACATTGAACCAAATTTTAAATGAGCACAAGTTAACAAGATTTAAAATTTTTCTAAGTTAACTTGGAACCCAAATATTTTAAAAGTTTTTGTGACACACTGACTATTTGATCATGATAGTTTTCTTATGCATTATTTTATATTTTTTACTGAAATCATAAGGAGATGTAAGAGTGGATTATCTTTATATACAGCCAAAAGTCTGGAAATTACCAATGTTAACATACTTCACTGAATCCAACAGCTCAATCTATATTAAGACATTTGAGCATGCCTGGTGTAGCCCAGTGGTTGAGCATCAACTCATGAATCAGGAGGTCACAGTTCGATTCCTGGTCAGAGCACATGCTGGGGTTGCAGGCTTGATCCCTGGTGGGGAGCATGCAGGAGGCAGCCGATCAATAATTCTCTCTCATCACTGATGTTTCTATCTCTCTCTCCCTTTCCTTCTTCTCTCTGAAATCAATATATACATATATAAAAGAAACATTAAAAAACCACAAACCAGACATTAGAGCAGTGATGGCGAATCTATGACATGCGTGTCAGAGGTGACACGCGAACTCATTTTTTTGGTTGATTTTTCTTTGTTAAATGGCATTTAAATATATAT